TTGTCTGAAATTTCTACCTAATACAAGCTGGTATCAGGTGGCATGTAGCTAAAATAATCAAGATGATCAAACTAAAAGACTACTACAGAGTATTACAAATTCAATAAACTCTTTGATCACAGTATGTGTATTAAAGTTGACAGTCTACAAACAGACAAATCTTATTCAAAATTGTAAGAGCAGGTTATCTTTTGGCTGCATGGGTTCTTCATTTGAGAATCTGAAGGAAAACCTCTTTTTCTCTCATTTAAGTTTTCTTGATTTCTCTAACCCATGTCAGTATCTTTTCATTGCCTCCCTTCTTATTTTTTAAATTTATTGGGGTGACATTGGTTAATAAAATTACATAGGTTTCAAGTGCACAAGTCTATAAGTACATCATCTGTGTTTGCATTGTGTGTTTACCACCCAATGTCAAATCCCCTTCCTTACTTTTAACTTAGTATTTATTTTTTAATATATTTTTATTGTTAATAGTATTACAGACATCTCTCATTAGTATTTCTTTGTCTTACAATGACTTTGCTCTCCTTTCTCAGCCATACAAACCCCTTTCACTCATTGAGACTGGTTCACGGTCTCTGATTGATCCACATCCTCCACCCACCTCTGAATCCATGTGTGACACTCACAAAGGCCCCTGAGTGCAGAGGTCAGACAGCACTGCACTGAGTATCTGCTAGGAGCTCAAAAAAATAGTTGTTCTTGATTAAAGGCTCAGCAGTCAAAGAGGTGGTTTCACCAGAAGGAGCAGTCACGCGGAGAGGCTATCACAGCTACGTCTATGAGCAATATTTTCCATGCATCAGCCTGGGACGCTGACAGGGATCTGAGCCTGAGAAATTCTGCTTGCCAAGGCCAGGTGCAAGATAGGGCAGCAGAGAGCAAGAAGTTGGGTGATGATGGCAGGGTTGTTCTGAGGATTAAATGAGGTAAAGCAGGTAACTGCTTAGACAGGTGCAGTGTTCAATTAATGTTGTTATTAACGATGCCATTATCCTAGCTCCTTTAAAGAGAATAATTTAACATTAAAACTTGCTAGTTTATTTTTAAACCCTAGTAAAAGAAATTCCCCATGGAGACACTTTCGTAACAGCAAATGATCAAACGACAGCAGTGGGAAATCCAGTCAAGTATGCAGTCAGAACAAAGTTAATAGGTTAAATATGTGCATTCATTTAAAGGCGAGATTGCTAAATAAAGATGTGGGTATAGGCAATTTCACCTTTACAGGAGAGCGTTTGACATGGGTCAGCTTGCTACAATGAAATGTTCCCAGCCATCTGAAGTTCCAGTGTCCAGGGCTCCAGCAGCCCCTGCTCAGTAATGCAGTCACTTCCTGCAGATAGCACAGGCCTTCACCACACTTTGCAATGGTCAAGCTTCTGCTTGACGGATTGTCTACTTACCACTGCAGTCTATTGCTCCTTCCCCCTGCTTGACAGGCACTGGGGGCTCTAAAATTCTTTGCTCTTCTACAACCTGTTCCTATTTCTCACACAGGTTAAAGTCTTTCCCCAGGGCCCTGGCTCAGCCCCTTGCCCCGGGCAGATTGCTGTCATACTTGCCCCCATCTCTGGTGATCAGAATTCATTTTAGTGTAGAATTGTCATCAGTCTCATGCCCTTTTGTGCTTACCTTTTGCAATAGCTTCTTGGGCTAAAATTTCCATTTCTATTTAAGCAACAATTTAAAAACTCAGTTTTCCTGATTTCAGTTCATTCTAGTGAAAACAGTATTCCTCTGTGCTTGGGGTTGCCTCAGTAGTTACCTAACGAGGTATTTTTTATTCAAAACTTGAACAAACTACAACTTTTGTCAAAGCCCAGTAAAAAGAAGGTTCTAGAAAGTGCCCATCAATGTGACTGAAGGAGATGGCCATGGGGTGACAGAGATGCGCACTGACTAAGGAGAACCTTGGACTCCAATGGCCATGTTCTGGACTCCGGACTGCACGTTTCACTTGAGCTATGTGACTTTTCGGGCTTCACTTCTTGGAACCTCAGTTTTTCATCTTTAAATGATGGATGTATTGGTCAGATCTTAGTGGGAAACAGATGGCCACTCCAGTGGCATCACTGAGGGGAATTGGATGAAGGGACTATGTACCAAGGTG